CCTCCTCATCCCAGTGTGTGTGTGTGTGTGTGGGGAGTTGAGTGAACGGCCATGGGGCTGTTCCTTTGTTTTCATGTTGGACTCAAACCATGATATCTGTACTGGTGCTTGGGTTATTCCTCCTCAGGTGCAGGACCCTACACTTGCCCTTGTTGAACTTAATGAGGTTGCTCTCTGCCCAACTCTCCATCCTGTCCAGGTCATGCTGGATGGGTGCACAGTCCTCTAGTGGTTCAGCCACTCTTCCCAGTTTTTGTCATCAGTGAACTTGCTGAGGATGCACTCTGTCCCTTCATTCAGGTCATTGATGAATATATTCAATGGGACAGGATCCAGTACTGACCCCTGGGGAACACTGCTGGCTACAGGCCTCCAACTGGACTCTGCGCCACAGATAACAACTCTCTGAGCTCTGCTGTTCAGCCAGTTCTCAATCCACCTCACTGTCCCCTCATCTAACCCACACTTCCGAAGCTTACCTATGAGGATGTTATGGGAGACTGTGTCAAAAGCCTTGCCAAAATCAAGGTGGACAACATCCACTGCTCTACTCTCATCTACCCAGCCAGTCATGCCATGATAGAAGGCTATCAGATTGGTCACCCCTTGGTGAATCCATGCTGACTACTGATAACCTTCTATTCCTCCATGTGCTTCGAGATGACATCCAGATGAGTTGTTCCATCCCTTTACCAGGGATGGAGGTGAGGCTGACTGGCCTGTAGTTTCCTGGGTTCTCCTTGCCTTTTTTAAAGACTGGAGTGACACTTTTTTTTCCAGTCCTCAGGCACCCCTCCTGTTCTCCATGACCTTTCAAAGATGATCAAGAGTGGCTCAGCAATAACATATGTGAGCTCCCTCAGCACTCATGGATGCATCCCATTGGGGCCCACAAATTTGTGGGTATTTATTTTACCAAAATAATCTCTAATGCAATCCTCCTCAACCAAGAGAAAGTCTTCCTTTCTCCAGAATTTCTCTTTTGCCTCCAGGGTCTGGGATACCTAGGGGTCAGCCTTAGCAGTAAAGACTGAAGCAAAGAAGAAATTCAGTAACTCTGCCTTCTCTGTATCCTCTGTCACCAGGGCACCCTCCTCATTCAGCAGCAGGCCCACATTTTCCCTAGTCCTCCTTTTGCTACTGATGTAGTTGAAGAAGCCCTTCTTGTTGTCCTTGACACCCCTTGCCAGTTTTAGTTCCAAGCAGGCCTTAGCTTCTCTTGTTGCATCCCTGTATACTCTGACTGTTCCTGTATTCCTTCCAAGTGATCACAGTCCCTTTTTCTACATAAACTTCCTTCTTCCATTTGAGTTTTTCCAGAAGCTCCTTGCTCATCTATGCAGGTCTGCTGCCTCCTCCTTTGCTTGATTTCTTACTCATTGGGATGGACTGATCTTGAGCTAGCAAGAAGTGATGCTTGAATATTAACCAGCTCTCTTGGACCCCCCTACCTTCTAGAGCCCTAACCCATGGAATTTTTCCAAGTAGTTCCTTGAAGAGGCCAAAGTTAGTCCAGGGTTGCAATCCTTCTTATTGCTCTGCTTCTTCCATGCAGGATCCTGAACTCCACCATCTCATGCTCACTGCAGCTAAGGTTGCCCCCAACCTTCACATCCCCAACCAGTCCTTCTTTGTTGGTACAAGGTCCAGCAGCACCCCACTCCTCATTGGCCCTTTGACCACCTGTGTCAAAAAGTTATCATCGATGCTCTGCAAGAACCTCCTGGACTGTGTGCACCTGGTTGTGTAGCCTTTCCAGCAAATGTCAGGGTGGTTGAAGTCTCCCATGAGAACCAGGGCCTGTAGTTACAGTGAAACTTGCAGTGTTTGATCAAACTAATCGGTAACAGTTTTTGAGGCCTAATGTGTGATAATATTATGTAATCTATTATAGATAGTTTTGTTTTCATATTTTTGACGACAGCTAAATAATGCTTGCCCACAGCTGTTTGTTTTTGTAGTAGTACCAGCGGTGGTCTCGGCAGCACTGGTATTGGCAGCATCACGGGTGGCAGCAGCATTGCCTGTGGGGAATTGGCAGTGAGTGGAGCAACACCTCACCCCTTATTCCATACCATATATTACATATAAGCTCTATATTTTACCAGCTGTCAAAATAAGGATTCTCCCCCAGAGTCAGATTACCTTGAGGTACACATTGTGCTTCACCATCCTCCATCATCACACACCAGGTATGTCCAGGTCCCTGAGCAAAAGCAACACCCCTGACAGGTTTGCCTTTGCCTGAAGCAGGATAGACCCAAATGCTTTTACCCAACAGATTCCTTTCACATACCACAGGGACTTTATCCCCATCTGCAGCATGTAGAAGGTCAGACTGAGCAGGACCAGCCTGATTGATGGATCCCCTGGTATTAACTAACCAGGTGGCTTTTGCTAAATGTTTGTCCCAATTGTTGAAAGTCCCACCACCCATTGCCTTCAGGGTAGCTTTTAACAGACCATTGTACCTATCAACTTTCCCTGAGACTTGTGCATAGCACAAGCATCCTTGTTGATCAAGTATGGTTTTGGTGATCAGGCAGTGAGGTGGATCAAGAACTGGTTGAAAGGAAGGAGTCAGAGAGTTGTAGTCAATGGGGCAGAATCTGGTTGGAGGTGTGTGACTAGTGGAGTCCCTCAGGGGTCGGTACTGGGACGAGTGTTGTTCAACATCTTCATCAACGACCTGGATGAGGGTATAGAATGTACCCTCAGCAAGTTTGCTGATGACACTAAGCTGGGAGGAGTGGCTGACACACCAGAAGGCTGTGCTGCCATTCAGAGAGACTTAGACAGGCTGGAGAGTTGGGCGGGGAGAAACTTGATGAAGTTCAAGAAGGGCAAGTGTAGAGTCTTGCATCTGGGGAAGAACAACCCCATGTACCAGTACAAGTTGGGGGCTGAGCTGCTGGAGAGCAGTGTAGGTGAAAGAGACCTGGGGGTCCTGGTAGACAGGAGGATGACCATGAGCCAGCAATGTGCCCTTGTGGCCAAGAAGGCCAATGGCATCCTGGGGTGCATTAGAAAGGGTGTGGTTAGTAGGTCAAGAGAGGTTCTCCTCCCCCTCTATTCTGCATTGGTGAGGCCACATCTGGAGTATTGTGTCCAGTTCTGGGCCCCTCAGTTCAAAAAGGACAGGGAACTGCTCGAAAGAGTCCAGCGCAGAGCTACGAAGATGATGAAGGGAGTGGAACATCTCCCTTATGAGGAAAGGCTGAGGGAGCTGGGTCTCTTTAGCTTGGAGAAAAGGAGACTGAGGGGTGACCTCATCAATGTTTACAAATATGTAAGGGGTGAGTGTCAGGGGGACGGAGTTAGGCTTTTCTCAGTGATGACCAGTGATAGGACAAGGGGTAATGGGTGTAAATTGGAGCATAGGAAGTTCAAGGTGAATATCCGAAAAAATTTTTTTACTGTGAGAGTGACAGAGCACTGGAACAGACTGCCCAGGGAGGTTGTGGAGTCTCCCTCACTGGAGACATTCAAAACCCACCTGGATGAGTTCCTGTGTGATGTACTCTAGGTGACCCTGCTCTGGCAGGGGGGTTGGACTAGATGATCTCTCGAGGTCCCTTCCAGCCCCTAAGATTCTATGATTCTATGATTCTATGATTCTATAAGTTATACATTTGGTCTAATGTTGGAAACAAAGACCAAGGCATGTTGCTATCAGTGGACTGATAGATTTGGAAGAGAAACAGAGAAGGTAATCTGGGGGAACACTGGAGGTGAAAACTTTTTGTAGATGGCAACATTTATCTGTCACCATTAACTGACTTCTGTTCAGGAGAGTGACTTAGTATCTACTTTTTTGCTTTATGGGTGATTTATCTGTATCTAATGTTCAAGAGGCTGTAGATGAGCCCAGCAGTATAAACTTAAAAGTTATAAGTCATACTAGTTTTCTACTTTGACTTCTGATTTTGAGATGTGAATCTTACAAGTTAAGAAGTATCAATTATGAGGAAAGAGGGATTTAAGCTAGGCCAACAGTTAATGGACTGGGGATTAAGTGTGGGTTTATTAAGGATTACTAGAACTATGAAGTTCGTAGAGTCCTTATTGAGCAATCATCTTTGGTTTTCTGCTTTCTGAAATGTTTCGGTAATATTTGGTGTAGATGCTATCTGGTTTCAGTGAGCTATGGTAACCTAGATTTTTCTTTTCTACAGGTTGTACCTTACAATACCTTGAATTAGTGTAGTAAATATGCTTATTTGGCAAAAGATATCATATATACGACACTTCTGTCTAATATATAAGTCCTTTTTAAACGCTAACATTTGTTTTGCTCTGTGCCTTAACATCATTCTAGCACTAATAATACTTTTATTCATGTTACATCTCTTTTTAGCTGGTATGTTTCCTATAATGGATGTCAGGCTTCTAATCTGCAACCCTAGGATCTCCTTGGAGTTCTGTAAAATCATTTGCCATGGACTATGAAACCTCATTGGCTAATTCCTTCCCCAGGCTCGAGCTCTCCTGACCCTCATCACTCTGTGCTTTCTCCAGCAGCAGCTCCGGGATTCCTCGGGACTGTTCCAGCTGAGGGGAGGGCTGGGGGAGTTGCTGGGGGTGGGGGGAGGTGAGAGGCTTTTGCCCATACCTGAACATCTTTGTATATAATTGTACATATTTTCTTATATCATTAGTGTTTTAATTAAAGCTGTGTAGTTGAGTTTTCAATCCAGCCAAGTCTCTCTCTTTTTCTCTCTCTCCTTCCCTACCTGGGTGGGAGGGGCAGGGGATCGAGAGCATTGATGTCAGACCTGAGTCAAACGGTGACAAAAATTGAGAATATCAAATGTTGACCTTATTAGTGCAGTGGTAATGTTCCATGTGAAACTCATGATGTCTGAAAGAGACTTGTTCACTCTATAACATCATTACAGTCAAGTCTGTCTGGTCACTTGGGTTCTTTCATAAAGAGTAGAAGCATGAATAGCAGAGTTTAATGCTTTAATTTTGATATTTTTTTTCCCAACTCTGACCAGACTTTAAATCCCAGCCTGAGCCATCCCCAGTTCTGAGCCAGCTGACCCAGCGACAGCAACGACAAACACAGGCAGTCCCTGTTCCTCCTCCTGGGCTGGAGTCTTTCTCCTCCCAGGTAAAACTCCACGAGCCATCACCAGTTGACACCTCTACAGCTGTTACCAAAATGTTACAGCTCCCCACTATATCTGTGGATAACCAGACAGCAACTGCCCATCAAACCCAGCAGAAACAGATAAAACCACCAAAACGGAGGATAACTCCAGCATCCAAGGTGGGTAATTGAGTAGTGGCTTGTCCTTAATAAACAAATAAACATATAAAAGCTTGTATCAGCACTAGTGTGGCCAGCAGGACTAGGGAAATGATCGTCCCCCTGTACTTGGCACTGGTGAGGCCGCACCTCGAGGACTGTGTTCAGTTTTGGCCACCTTACAACAAGAAGGACATTGAGAGGCTGGAGCGTGTCCAGAGGAGCTACCAAGCTGGTGAAAGTTCTAGAGAACAAGTTTTAGGAGGAACAGCTGAGGGACCTGGGGGTGTTCAGCCTGGAGAAAAGGAGGCTGAGGGGAGACCTTGCTTTTTACAACTCTCTGTAAGAAGGTTGAAGCCAGGGGGTCGATCTCTTCTCCCAAGGAACAAGGGATAGGAGAAGAGGAAATGGTCTCAAGTTGTGCCAGGGGAGGTTTAGATTGGATCTTGGGAACAATTTCTTCAGTGAAAGGGTAATTAAACATTGGAATAGGCTGCCCAGGGAGGTGGTCAAATCACCATCCCTGGAGGTATTTAAAAGACATATAGATGTGCTGAGGGACATAGTTTAGTGGCAGTGTGCTAGGTTAAGGGTTGTACTCAAATCATCTTAAGGGTCTTTTCCAACTGAAATGACTCTATGATTCTATGTTTCTATTCTATATATAAGTTGTTAGGGAGAAGGAGAGCTAAGACCATGGTCTTTTTCTTGTTTATAAAGCAGGAAATTTTAAGCTTGGTGGTTTTTAGGTCCAAAATACAGTGATTTTCCACACACATATCTGATTGCTCTATGTGGAAGATTACTGTTGTTGAGTGATTTTGGATTGACTTATTAGCCACAAGATGAATGTTGACTGAAAGGGGATGGACACAGATGACACTTTGATATTGTAGAATACTTACTTGTAGAGGCTTACTCTTTCTGCTCCAGATCAGGACACAGAATCAACAAATCAGTTTCAGGTTACAAGAATGTAGTTAACTTATGTGATGTAAACTGGGGGGTTGTTGTGGATCTAGTTAGCAATGAAGGCTGAGGCAGTAACTGAAGAAGCCTGTAGTTAAGGGAGCAGAGGTTGTTAGTTACTGATATCTTTAATACAGATAGTGAACTCAAAGGACTTATGGAATATTTTTTTTCCTCCTTTAAGATTCCTGCCTCTGCAGTGGAGATGCCTGGATCAGCAGATATGACAGGGTTAAATGTTCAATTTGGAGCTCTGGAGTTTGGATCAGAGCCTGCACTCCCAGAGTTTGGATCAACTTCAAGCAGTGAGAATACCAGCCAGGCAACCAACAATAGCTTGTACTCAAAATCTGTAAAGTATGTGTGAGTTCCCCTTGTGCGTTCTTACGTCTTCTTTAAGGGGTCAAGTTTGTGCTAAAAACATCAAGGCACAGTTACCTGTGGAGGGGGAAATACGATGACTTGTAAGGCTGTTTTCTGTGGATGGCATCTTAAAGGAGAAATTTGTTTTCTAATGACAATCAAAATCTTCCTTGATGGGTTGATGTGAAGCTGGAGATGACATGAATGTAAATAACCTTTTATAGAATTGCTTTCTCATGTTTAATTGTCCTGATTTTCAAATTTGTTTGAGGGTTTGTACCTCACAACCTGAATTTTTCTGATTTTGATCCAGAATAGATGACCTTTGTACCATATATGTGTGGCAGTAGATTGGCACCAGATTCCAGATTTTATGCTCTTATGGAATGAGCAAAGAAGCCAGGCTTTCAGTATGCAGAAGCTCTTACTGAAATGCTAAAGTAGCCAGTGATAAATGCCAGTGTACCAGTAACCCATTTTTTCTTCCTTATTCATTCAAAAAATGGCTTCAGTAAAAAGCTTCCTGCATGTTTTATTTTTTCCTCTTTGCATAGTTAATTCTTTTAGACTGCTACTCTAACATTAGAATTCTATTGTAAACAAAGACTGGGTGTTTCTCATAATATAGTATAAATAATGTAGATTTGACTACATGTTTAAGGTAACTCTAGGTAACTGTATAGGAGCTGATTTTTTTATGGTTTTTGAGATGTCATTGACCAAGTTGATAAATAATTTTTATTCTTTTCAGTGATCCTTTGAATACCTCTTTGCCAATATCCAATAAGGTACAGGAGTCCACCTACACAACCTCTGCCATCACCTCTTCAAGTCTGACCTGCTCATCCCAGAGCACTAGCCCAGTAAAAACTTCCTCCTATGATCAGACTTCTGTACATAGCGGGATAGCATACCAAAGCTCCATGGCTCCGTCTGAGTCAACCCTTGTTGCAGTTATGGTGAGTGAACTTCAGAAATAAGACCATGAAAAAGGTGAAATATTCTTATCCGTGTTAGACTTGTATTAGTCTGCTATGTTAATATTTTAACTAAGCCAAGTGGTATTTTTGTTTCCCAAATCCACCCTGTTATGTTTTTTATTTTCCTACTGTGTAGCCATTTCTGTATTTGGGATATGAGAGCCTCTAATTTTATGGGATTTGACATCTTAAACTGCTGTTTAACCTTTTTTCTTAGTAACACTTAACATTGTAGTTGAATTTCCTTCCCTGAAGCTTAGCTTTTAAAAATGAACTATTTTTCTGTGTAAATATTAGTCATGGTATTTTGCAGTAACAGTTTTTATCCAAAGGTATATTATTTATTAAATTTATATGGCACCTAGCAAATGGATCCCAAACTGTTTGTGCCCCTCCAACATTACTCTTTTGTTGGATTTAAACAGCAGTGGAAATTAGTTTCATGTTTTATTTTAAAAAAACATAGGGAGAGGTCTAATCTAGGACAGAGAGGATCTCTCTCTTGAATGTAGGGTTTTTTTAAGAGAACTTAATTAAACGTTTAAGGAACTTGTGAGAATTTGTAAGTTTATTTACTTCTGGCCTTTGTTATGTGATGGCTCAGTCACACTTCTGCACTAGTTCATATGTACTGGTGAGGATCAAGCATAGACTATCCACTTCTGTACTCCAGCGTTATCCAAAAAACAACTGGTGCTTCTCAAGTCTTATCTTTCAATGGAAAAAAATTGGCATCTCTGTGTAACTTGGATAGTTAAAATTGTGAGTTGCATTAGATCAAATGCACAACCATTTCCTATATGATAATGCAGTTCTTTCTTTCATATCGGTGTGAATCTGAAGTTTATGTTAATTACAGTACATGGGAAGCTCTCCTGCTGATGGGTGTAGTATGGGCAGTGTATGGGATTCTGTATGTTCAGGATACCTTGCATTTGAGACAATTTATTACGTAGTTTTGTTAAAGGCAGTAAAAAGTTATTTTTTGCCTTTTTTGTCTTTCAATATAGAATGAATATAGAATTTTGCATAAAACATAATGTGTGATTCAGTCTGAAAATTATATATACTTCTAAGATGATTTATTAATTCATTTCTCCTTTGTTTACAGAACGGGCACAGCAGCGTTAGAACACAGGCAACTCTTGACAGTAAGTTTATAAAGCTTGGGTTGTGCACAGGATTTTCTGATCTTTCCTTACTATTTGCTGTGTACACAGGTGTAGCACTGACATGTGGTTTAAAGTTTTATATTGTTTTCACTGGTGATTTTTTGGCGGAGTCATTTGAGTTTATTTTGTACTTGCATAGGATAAAGAATCATAGAATCACAGAATGGTTTTGGTTGAAAGGGACCTTAAAGATCATCTAGATTCACCCCCCCCTGCCATGGGCAGGGACACCTCCCAGTAGACCAAATTGCTCCAAGCCATCCAACCTGGCAGAGAGGGGCATTCACAACTTCTCTGGACAACCTGGGCCAGTGTCTCACCACCCTCACAGGAAAGAATTTCTTCCTAATGTCTAACCTAAATCTTTCCTCTTCCAGTTTGAAACTGTTCTGTCACATCCCATCACTCACTGCCCTTGTAAGAAGTCCCTCCCCAGCTTTCCTGTAGCCCCTTCAGGTACTAGAAAGGTGCTCTAAGGTCTCTCTGGAGCCTTCTCTTCTCCAGGCTGAACACCCCCAACTCTTTCAACCTGTCTCCAGAGCAGAGCTGCTCCAGTGCTCAGATCATCTTTGTGGCCTCCTCTGGATGGGCCTAGGACAATTCTCTGCTGCCAACTCTCCACTGGGACATCTCTATTCTGGGACAACTCTCCGTGGATCAGCAGATGACACGTGACTGTGCTGGGGTCCTGGCAGAGAGTTGGCAGTGGAGAGTTGTCCCTTCCCGCCTCTGGACTCACTGCAACAGCTCCATGTCCTTCTTGTGTTGGGGGCTTCAGAACTGGACGCAACACCGCAGGTGGGGTCTCCCCAGAGCAAAGGGGGAGAATCCCCTCCCTTGACCTGCTGGCCATGCTTCTTTTGATGCAGCCCAGAATACAGGCTTGCTTCTTGACTAAAATGGAAGTATGAAAGCAGCCCTATTAAATCTACAGACAGAGAAGTTGCTGTGCTGCTGTTTTTTCTTCTGAATTTATCTGTCAAAATCAATATAAAATTAAATTAAAATAAAATAGAAAATAAAACTTAATATAAAGTTTCTTAGCAATTCTTCCTATCCATTTAGCTATAATGAAGCAGTCATTTTTTTTGAATGCACCTCTCACTGGGTATACTGCTACTTATGTCCTGTGACAAGCCTCTGGGAAATCAATGTGACTAACATGCTCCTTTTGCCAGGTGGCTTGCTACCTTTCAGTGGAGTAACAATAACACAGTACTGGCTCTGATACAGGCATTGCTGTTATCTTCATTTTGGCCTGTTTTTAAAGTGCTATTTTACTTGTAGCACCCCTATAGCACTCTTCCTGGAGTTAAGATAACAAATATTCACTCTTTTGACCTTTATGTGCTGCTCCGTGGAAGTTTTCAAAGGCAGCAATGTGAATTAACATCTTTTGGAATTCCAACACTTCAATTTTAGGTCTATTCTCCTCTTAAACAGAGGAGAGAGTTCATTAGTGGGACAGCCTTTTTATTTTATACTTCTGAGTAGAAAGAAGTTGAGTACTCAGACCTGTAAACAGTGTTTTGTTAGTGCAAAGTTCAATTTAAATGAGAAGGAGTGTATATACCCAAAGAGTTACCTCTTAAAAGTTTGTTATATATAAATACAATTTTTCAGTGGAAAACTTTCTTACTCTCTTGTACAGAATTAATAAACAATTTATGAAATTCACTTCAGGACTTGTCTTTTTGCTATGGAAAACAAAGATGTGATAATTCTTAATATTTTTATAATTATTCTTTAATGGCTTTATTAGTCCCTTTTTCCATGCCAGTTTCTTTTGAGAACACTTTGGGTTTTTTCTGTATCTCCAGCACATAAACTGGAATCAGTCTTCTTCCATGTATCTATGTCATGCATCCAAACTATTTTTAAATTCTCTCTTCTTAACATTTGAAAGTACTGACCTTTTCCCTTCTCTATGTGCTGATAATATTCTTGTTCATCTCATCTTTGCTGCTGTTGTCCTTTAATATCCAGATCTCATGCTTCCTAAACCCTTAGTTTAAAGCATGACTGGTGATTTATAATTCTGACCATCCTACTTGTCTCTTGGTTTTCTGTTGTTAAATAAATTTCTTTGCCACAGGTTTCCTGCAACAGGGTCTCAGCCATTAGATTACAGGAAAATAAATAATTTAATTGAATGGGCAGCCATAAGAGCAGCTCGAGCTGGGTGCCTCCAGAGAGGGACCTAGAACAAAGAAATCACTAGGCATTTATACCCTTACAATCTATACACCTGTTCTTCACACACTGTTCATGTGCCTTGCACATATCTCTTGGTCAATGGTAATTTTCTGGTTTGGGGCTTGTTCCTTATTGGATTCTTTCTCTGTCTTCAGGCAGGCCATTAGCTGTTCTTATCTAGATGGGTTGCAGCTTCTGCTGACAGTTGTAGCCTTCTTATCTTCCAGTTTGCACTGGTCTCAGGACCTTCTTTCACTTAATTAAGCAACAGTTTAAGATAAGTTCAACTTCTCTAGGTGAAAGTTCACAGCTTGTGGCTTAAGGCTTCAGTAACTTTAGCTACTGATGCTAAGCTAGACTATTCAGACAAAATGATACAGTTAAAAGATACATAAAGATAAAATATATATTAAAATAATACAGTTAAATAAACTTAATTTGCAACACTTTGTCTTGCACATCATGTTCAGGCATCTTGTAAAGGGTCTTAATGAAGATGGTGATTCTGTCCCTTGTATTGAGGATATCTACTTTTACTTCAAGAAGGGAACCCTGTTCTAATTGTATTGAGAGTTGTAAATGTTATGTACTTAGTTTTATATTTATCTTGCCAGGAGATATAAGGTGATATAGTTGCCTTCTTCATAACTATGTTTCTGTTTGTCACTTGAATTGCCTTCTCTGTTGTCAGTTACCCTAATACTTATTGCTAAGGCCAAGACCTCTTAATTTCTCTTTGCATAGCATCCAATTGAGCAACCTGACCTGGGTCATTTAGCAAGGAAACTAAACCAATAATGTGAACAAACTGTGATGTGTAACTTCCAAGCACATATCTCACTTTTATTAGGTGACTATTCTAAGGCTGTTTTAATGTGCATTGCAAATTAGTAGTGGTAGTGGGTAGTGGTCTCTGATGTGGTATGGAAGCATGGCCCAGCAGAAGGCAGGGCTCAACTCTCTTGAGTTTTATTGGTGGGTGGGTGCCTCTAATTCTGTGTATTATCTTTGGAGGACAAGAGATAAGTGTAGAAACAGCAGAAAATTATGTTGGGCAGTAGAGTTGTTCAGTGTCTTATTACAGTATAGTGATTCTTTGGAAAGGCACATCTGTGGTAACCAAGTTCTACTCTGTATAGCCTAAAAAAGTAATATTAATGCTGAACGCTTTTTGTTATCTAGGTCAAATAAAGTAAGACAATTTAAAACAATTTTTCTTACCATTATAAGTGCTTAATGTTGTGCTCAATTCTGGCCTTTTATTGTTGCTTCTTTTATTTTACTGCATTACACATTTGACTCTGTTCTCCAAACTGGTAAATTGTATGTGCCCTTGTACTCCAGTGATCTAAGTCTCAAACATCAAAGGTGCTGTGTAGGATGGAATGAAGAAGCAGAGCTGTAGAGATTTGAAAAAAAAGAAGCAGAAAAAAAGAAAAGCAGATTTGTACAGTGCCTAGAAAAGCACAAATTACTTTTGTTTGAGGAACCAAATGAAAGGAATTTTAAAATGAGGATTGACTTGTGAGAAAAAAGTTAGTAATTCAGATAGTGGGGGGTTAAGTGCAGAAGACTGTAGTGAAAATTATAAATCTATTGTAGATTAAGACCTTAAAGGGAAAAAATGATAGTTCTGTTGCTGTTTGAATTTTCATTAATAGCCAGATTGTTTGATACTGTTACTGGCTCTTAATGGTCAGGTTTTTTTAAACTGCGGGGAGGATACAGTTGTGTTCCTGGATCCAGGAATACATTCTGGGATGTCAGATATGCTAGAATTTGTCCTTGAATGCCTCTTTTTAACTCATTGCAGCTACTTCATCAGTTCCAGCGCCTAAGACAGAGCCTTCTCCTTCACTACCTTCTGCTGGTTCTCTGCCTAGCATGGTATCCACCACAGCTTCACTTCTGCCTTCAGCATCACAGCACCCAGCAACGTTGCCCAGCTTGCCTCAGTCCAGTGATTTGGCCAGCAGCTCACTTTCTCAGTTAAGCAGGTACAGTAGGAGTTGTGATAAACTGAAAGGGGTTCGAGGATGATTGCGTATGAGGCTGTCAGATACCAGGGTCACCTTTTCTGACATTAACTAGAATTAGGAGAGAGATTCAGAAGAGACCGAGATGTTTCTGGTTGCAAGGGTCTAGGACAATTTGGCGATGTCACCTTCCCGCCGGCACTTTTCTCGCCGCCGCTTCTAACCTCGGATCAGCAGATGGCGCTCGTTCAGCACCCCCGCGCGGCAACACGCAGCCACCTACCCCGCCTC